GAAAGCTGAAGCAGTGAGCACAGAACTCCACTACTGGAATTGAATTCCAGTACAAAGCAGTAAACTGGCTAACTCTCGTATAGCCAATCTCCTACTACCGAATGATGAGACTCTAGCAACCTAATCAGATTCTATCTATCTCAGATTGCAGCAGAAATCAGGAAAAGTTGATCAGACTTCAATTGACTCAATAAACATGCATCATTCGATTATAATCAAACAATATAGCATCCAAAACTTCATACAAGAAAGATCCTAACTCATGGAACTAAGGTTCCTCAAAACCTAAGTGAAGGGAAGTTACTCCATAGAGAAGAGAGAGACTGCAGAAATCTGATCTAGATCTTCAATCTCCATCTCCAAGCTTGATTCCCGAGCTCCAATGGCGAAGAAATCCTCCAAAATAGCTCCAAGAATGTTCCCAAGTCGCTCTCTCTCTAGGGTTCGTCCATTGGGTGTTTGGGATCCAAAACCCAGCTCTCCCCCTTTCCTTTTGCTGAAAATCGGGTTTTAAACAGCAATTCCCGACTCACACGGCCAGGCCACACGGCCGTGTGGGTTGTGCCCATGTGGCTTGCTCAGCCTCTGTTTAATGCTTCGTTTCTCCCTCGTCCGGACTCCGAATCAGTCGCCGTTTGATCCCAGACGCTCGTAGTCTCATCCTCTTTCTTTTCATAACAATCTTACATGATTCTTTCTCCATAAAGTGAGATAGAAATCCATTCTTCTTCAGGTCATACCCGAGTTTCTTCTCCCGAATCGTCAATTGATCTCTGATTGACTTGAAACTTGCGCCTATGCTTCACTTTATGTGCTAGGACCTGAAATGTGACAAAGGAACACAACCTAGCGTAAAATAGGCCAAAGACACGATAATTCAAGCTCAAACAATCAAGAAACAAAGGGGAAAACATGTGCAAATACCGAGTCATCAAATCCCCTCACACTTAACTGTTTGCTTTTCCCCAAGCAAACCTAACTCAAACCAATGCAGCTCCCCAGAGCTCTATAGCAACATACAACCCCGATCGTCGGTAGAGGATTTCCTAGATCATATAGCAGCTTACGAGGTCAACTGGTCTTCTAAGACGTTCCCTATCTCTCTCAATTCTTGTACTAGACTCAAGCCAGGATCATGAGAAAAAGTAGAAGTAAGACAGTCAGTTCATGGATAAAGGGACTCACACCATTCACAACCAAGGATTCGTTGTACCGGGGTGCTCTTTCACTTCATTTCACCGTTGGAACCCCTTTTTCTCACTTTCATTTACATTTTTTCTTTCATTTGGTGGGGTTCCAACTGCAGTCTTTTGCACGGTCGACCCTTACTAGTCGAGCAAGAGCAATTTCTGTACATCTGGAGCTCGCCAGAGTACTTCTTTTAACTCCTTTTCCTCAACTCGTGTGGAGGGTCAATGAAATTAAGGGGGGTCGGAAGCTCTATCCGTGCCCTTAAAAACACATCCTCAAGTAAACCGTTCAACGGGTGGAAGTTTTACTTGTACTAGAGATAACTTAGCTTCACCTTGTAGGAGTACCCCACTAAGGATCACTAAAATCTCTTCCAAAACCCGATTTTGTGCAATGAACGGTGCCGCACACGTTGGGCTTACCCCATGTTTAAGATTTAATGATTTTGACATGGAGGACCAACTGCTTCCCATTTTCCATATGAGCACCCCGTTCGATACACGAGTCCATAACATAATCCAAACAGAGTCACCATTACCACATGAATTCAACGGTCTTAGCTCCACTAATTCACAAAATCAACTGGCACAACAGAGAGCTAGATAGGAAAAATCTTATACTTCAACATCCTCCATAGTGCTACACTACCTCCCTAGGTTGCACATTACTATAGAGACTGTCAATTCAAAGCATACTGAGCAGGCAATTTGCAAGGAAACAGGTACTTGGAGCCCTCAAATTTAAAAATTTGGACAGTGGACTAGGCTCCAAGCACACAAACAGCCAAACATTCACCCGCATACATAATCGAACACCCCCCCACACTTAAGCACGACATTGTCCTCAATGGAGGAAAGATAAGGAGGGTAGAACGAAGTTACCAGATCAAGCGTGAATGATGATGTACGGGTCAGGCAGTGCATTCCAGGAAGAGAGAGTAATCAGAACACAAACACCACACAAAATCTCACAAAGGTTGAGTTATTGACTCTAAAATCAAATAGAAAAACTGACTCAACCGAGGAGAAATAGAGAAAGAAATGCAAACCGACTGGTTGGGTTGCCTCCCAACAAGCGCTTCTTTCACGTCGTGAGCCGGACGATGGCTCCTAAGTTTCGGTCCATGCTAGAACCTCCTTGAAGTTGAGGTTCTCGTCGATGAGGTGGAGTCTCAAGTCACGAGCATGTGGTGTGGCAGGTGATGAAGGCTCATGTACTTGATGCAGATGAAGTCTCCACCCTCGAGACCTCTTCTTCTCTTCCCTCGTCTCATTGCCCCAAACCAGATATGACAACATCGATTGGCCACCATCGCGTCCACCAAGAGGGACCGATGTCGATGTGGCCTTGGTCTGGCAAAGAGACACTGCAAATGGGTCCTTGCCAAGCAGCTCCTCGAAGTTTGGTGGAGATATCAAATGTAACATAGGGCCGATGCAAGCCTCTTCCACCTCAACTTCATCCTTAGCCTGGACGCCAATTGCTTCCTCAAACCCCCTTTCTTCTTCAAAATGTGGTCTCTCCCCTGGGAAAAGATCAAGAACCACCTCTTCTTTTCTTTCTTCCTCATCATCCACAACTTCCTTCCTCATCCTTGCTCGCTCTTCTTCTTCTAGAACAGATTGGAGAGCAAGTCGCCAAGCAATTTCTTCAATGGGATCATCTTGCATCTCCTCGCACGGGCCCAGCATGTTAGAGCATTAATGAGGAAAGGTGTGGTCTGCAACCAAAGGACTTTCCTGATCATGATTATCATGGGGGTTCTCTGTGATAACTTTTGTATGCTCCTCAAAGCTCCCATAACCTTTGTCATCCTCCACCTCTTCTAGCGTGGTAGCAGAAAGGTGATCTTGGGCAAGATGCGAGCAAACTTGCTTCACCCACTCTGTTTGCTTCGCTGAGTGCTGAACAGTCTCCTCCATATCATGGAGAAATGAGGGATCGGAAGTGGCAAGGGCTTTGATTTGAAGATCCATCTTAGAGCATGATTTCTCAGTGTCTCGAGCAAACTGCTCCACGAGAAGCCTTAATTGTTCGTTCGGATCCTCCAGTGAAGTGTAGCATGGCTCTGCAGAGTGGCCCGTGAAGGCCGCCATGGGTAACTCCAGTTCCGATGGCCCTTCTGATTGTGGGAGAAAGTCTTCTTGGTAATGAGGTTGTTCTTGATATGCCCAGGGGTCTGATTGTTCTCCGTAGTAAGGGGGCTGGTACTGGAACCCGAATCCATAGTCTTCTCCTCCTTGATTGCTGTAGGGAGTCGCGGGTTAATACCACCCGGATGGTGGTGGATACCCCCAATGATTGGAGAAGCCATTAGGATCCATGATTCAGATCTGCACCAACAAAAACAAAAACACCCAAATGAAAAGCAAGGGTGGAAAAGAAAAGAAAAGAAAAACGCCAAAGTAACAAACTTCTGCCTTTCCTAATACTCTAGAAAGTCCCCGGCAACGGCGCCAAAAACATGATGCTCTAAAACACAACACCTAACAATGGCCAAGTGTAACCAATGAAAGGGACTGCAGTATAGTGGCACAAGTAATAAATATCGAATCCACGGGTCTCTAGAGTTACTATTACTCAGCTTCAGTTCATTATCTAGCAGACTAGATTAAGGATTGATTAACTAAACTACTCTACTAACTAAACTAAGTAAAACTACTAATTACAGTTTGGGAACTCACTTAGGTATGATTCCCCCTAGCTCCTCAATTAGGTCCAAGTTGTAATTCCTTTTGGTTGTTTAACTGTTGATTAAACTGCGGAAGATCCGACAGTAGCTTGGAATCTCTTAAGCTGACCAAGCCCTCTCAATCTAACTACCCGGCAGACGACTAGTCTTCACCGGGAAGAAAGCTGAAGCAGTGAGCACAGAACTCCACTACTGGAATTGAATTCCAGTACAAAGCAGTAAACTGGCTAACTCTCATATATCCAATCTCCTACTACCGAATGATGAGACTCTAGCAACCTAATCAGATTCTATCTATCTCAGATTGTAGCAGAAATCAGGAAAAGTTGATCAGACTTCAATTGACTCAATAAACATGCATCATTCGATTATAATCAAACAATATAGCATCCAAAACTTCATACAAGAAAGATCCTAACTCATGGAACTAAGGTTCCCCAAAACCTAAGTGAAGGGAAGTTACTCCATAGAGAAGAGAGAGACTGCAGAAATCTGATCTAGATCTTCAATCTCCATCTCCAAGCTTGATTCCCGAGCTCCAATGGCGAAGAAATCCTCCAAAATAGCTCCAAGAATGTTCCCAAGTCGCTCTCTCTCTCTCTCTCTAGGGTTCGTCCATTGGGTGTTTGGGATCCAAAACCCAGCTCTCCCCCTTTCCTTTTGCTGAAAATCGGGTTTTAAACAGCAATTCCCGACTCACACGGCCAGGCCACACGGCCGTGTGGGTTGTGCCCGTGTGGCTTGCTCAGCCTCTGTTTAATGCTTTGTTTCTCCCTCGTCCGGACTCCGAATCAGTCGCCATTTGATCCCAGACGCTCGTAGTCTTGTCCTCTTTCTTTTCATAACAAGCTTGCATGATTCTTTGTCCATAAAGTGAGGTAGAAATCCATTCTTCTTCAGGTCATACCCGAGTTTCTTCTCCCGAATCGTCAATTGATCTCTGATTGACTTGAAACTTGCGCCTATGCTTCACTTTATGTGCTAGGACCTGAAATGTGACAAAGGAACACAACCTAGCGTAAAATAGGCCAAAGACACGATAATTCAAGCTCAAACAATCAAGAAACAAAGGGGAAAACATGTGCAAATACCGAGTCATCACGTCCACCTCCCATGCATGCTAGACCAAGCCCGTTGCTCTTCTAAGGCGGTGTCGAGGGCCCCAGTGGGACGGGCCTCCTCCCGAGTCAAGCGCTTCAAGCAGATTTGGGTCCGTAAAGAAGGCCCTCAGCCCAATCCCCTTCTTTATTCTTTGTCCAGCCCATCCACTCCCTCCGAACCCGCCCTTCTGCCTTTAACCCCTTTGCGTGGCCCATTCACCAAGCCCTTTCCCTTTTTTCAGCCATCCACCTCCATACCCTCTCTTATCAGCTGGTTTAAACCTTCCTTACCCAATCCTCCCCACCTAACCCTCTCAATCTTCAACTTCATTTCGATCCTTCGCATTTCCACCTCTTCCTCCAAACCCGACCAGCCACTTCCCTTCACCACTCGTGCTCTCTCCAACTCAGCCCTGTCTCACATCCATCCTGAACCTAGGATTATTGATTTGGATGATCCCCAATCTCCCCCTGATTCTCCTCCTACCTCTTCTCCATCCCTCTGTCCCGGACCTTCATCCCCACCTTTCACCATCCCCAACCAATCAATTTCCTTCGTACCAGAGACACCCCAATCCCCTGCCCAATCCCTCTCAACCCCACCCTTTACCGATGGAAATCTGCCTTCCCCTTCTTGCTGTCTTGTCTCCAACACACCCTTTTGGGACCAGGAGGCTCATCCCTTCGATTTAGACACCCTCAGTTCTACCAGCCTTAACCTAGCCAAGTTGTTCTCTCTAGATCTTGACGAGGGAAAAAGTCACATGGTCAAATTGGTAGTCGATAAAGCCAAGGAAACTCATCAAAGGAAAACAAGAAGCAGCAGGTCTAAGCTCGAGATGGAAAGGCATCGCCTCGGCCCGGCAATTCCTGGGATCCTCGAACCACGGCGTAACAAGAGGCGGAGGGGACTTCCTAACGATATCGAAGAATGATGGAGGCCTCCTTAATTGTGTGGAATGTCAGAGGTCTCGGCGAGCCCAACAAGCGAGGTAGAATAAAACAAATTATCAGCAGGCGCAGGCCCAAGATTGTTGGGTTGATCGAAACTAAGTGGGACAACTGTGACTTGGCCACCATTGGGAGCGTTAGCGGTTCCAGAAATGTTGGGTGGGCTGCTAAGAACGCCATCAACAGTGCAGGGGGGATCGCCATTTATTGGGACCAAAATCACTTCAGGTCCAACATCAGCTTTACTGGCACTTACTTTCTCGCGGTGGAGTTTGTCGATCTTAAGTTCAACAACAATTGGACTCTGGTGGTCGTTTATGGTCCTGAGAGCAGGAACGATAAGTTTGCTTTCTTAGAGGATTTGAGCAGTCTCTGCCAGCAGCTCACCTCTCCCGTTTGCATCATCGGGGATTTTAACATGGTCCGTTCCCACGACGACTACAAGGGTGCCCGGCGTGATACGGGAATCATGTCGGCCTTTAATGAATTTGTGAACGATAACAGCCTGCTGGAGATGCCCCTGGGCGGCAGCCATTTTACGTGGTGCAGGGGAGGGAACGGGGAATGCTTCTCGCGCATTGATCGCGCCTTTATCTTGGCCGATTTCGACGCCACCTATCCAGACTGTTACCTTCTCGCTCTCGAACGAATTGAATCTGACCACAACCCTCTCATGCTTAATTGGGGTGGCAACTCTCACCTCAAACGACCTTGGCGATTCGAGAACATGTGGCTCGAAGATGACAGATTTTTCGAAGGAATGAATCAGTGGTTTCAGGAGCCGATTCAAGGTCAGGGGCTGATCTTCCTCTTGGCGCGGCGTCTTCACCATCTCAAGTGCAGAATTAAAACCTGGAACAAGGAAGTCTTCGGAAACGTCAACACCCATATCAGTGAGCTAACTAACAAGATTTCGGATATCGACAAAAGGGAAGAGCTTCATCCTCTTGACGACTTCTCGAAAGCTACCAGAGATTTGTCCAAGATCGAGTTGGGAAGGCTTCTTAATTTGCTCGAAATTTCCTGGCGTCAGAAATCCCGTGAGTGCTGGCTCCAACTTGGCGACAAGAATAGCAATTATTTCCACAGGATGGCCAATTTCAGACGAAAAATCAACAGAATCGATCGCATCATGATCGGCGAAGTGATTGTCGAGGGAAAACAGGAAATCGCAGCGGGCATGGTCAATTACTACAGAAACCTCTTCCTCGAGGAATTCCCTAATCGGCCTTTTCCTTGCAACTATGTTGAGCGTCGCCTTTCCCTCAACGAGTGTCAGCTCCTCACTCGGCCGTTCACTGAACAAGAAATTATAGTCTGTCTTTCGGAGAGCGATGGCAGCAAGGCCCCCGGGCCCGATGGGTTCACCTGGGATTTTCTTAAGCGATGCTGGAATTGGTTCAGAACAGACATCATCAATGCTTTCAACGAATTCCACACTACTGGCGTCCTCCCTCAGAGCGCAGTTCATTCCTTTCTTTGCCTTTTGCCCAAAAAGGACACCGTTGAAGACACCAAAGACTTGCGTCCGATCAGTTTGATGGGATGCATCAATAAGCTTTTTAGTAAGGTTCTCGCCAGCATAATGAGCAATGTTCTTCCTGGCCTCGTTTCCGTGAATCAACAAGCCTCGGTTAAGGGCCGACAGATTGGTGACGCAGCTCTAATCGCCTTCGAACTCATCGACAGCAGGAAGAAGAGTAAAAAACCGGGTTTGATCCTTAAGCTTGACATCGAAAAGGCATTCGACAACGTAAACTGGAAGTGCCTCTTCAAGATTCTCTCCAAGCTTGAGTTCCCCCCGCAATGGATCAGATGGATTCAAGGTACAATGTGCTCTCCTCTTATATCTATTCTAGTCAATGGGGAATCGCACGGATTTTTTCCAATGCACAAAGGGCTCCGTCAGGGTGACCCGCTCTCTTCGGGCCTTTTCTCTCTAGTTATGGACGTTCTGGACTTTATGATCAACAAATTGAAAGAGAACGGAAAAATCAAAGGGTTCTCCATGGATGAACAAGGCGGGCAGGGAGAAGTTACTCATCTACTTTTCGCCGACGACACTTTGGTTTTCTGTGATGCTTCCTCCGACCAGGTCTTGAATGTACTCTCCACTTTAGTCTGCTTTGAGTCAGTTACAGGCCTCCGGATCAATCTTGAGAAATCTGTGATGTTTACCGTGGGCGATGTCCCAAACCCGGATTTCTATGCCTCTCTTTTCGGGTGCAGATGGAGCGACCAGCCTTCCAGGTACCTTGGTTTCCCTCTCGGGGCTAGGCTGAATGCGGTTTCTTCTTGGGGTCCTATTATTCAGAAGTTCAGAGACAGATTACTAGGGTGGAAGGGCCGGTTTTTATCCTTGGGTGGCAGGCTTGTTCTCAACCAGGCCGTGCTCGCAAGTCAACCCGTATACTACTTCTCAATTCTTAAAGCACCGAAAACAGTTATCAAAATATGGAGGGCATTCAGAGGAGGTTTATTTGGAGTGGGACTGCTGAAGAGAGGAAGAGTCCTCTGGTTAGTTGGGAACTTTGCAAGGCTACTAAACTCAGAGGCGGGCTGGCCATTTTTGATTTGGCGAGTTTCAACACTGCCATGTTATCCAAATGGCATTGGCGCTTCGCTATGGAGACCAGCAGCTGGTGGAGAGAGCTTATCAACATCAAATTTCCTAATCCACACTCGTGTTGGCACACTGGTAATCATGATGGTGGTTACGCCAATTCGGCATGGGCAAATATTATGAAAGAGTACACCTGTTTTTGGAACTTTGCATGCATCGACCCCAGCAGTGGAGACTGGACCTCATTTTGGCACGATCGGTGGATCCCTGAAGCCTCTCTATCTGATTCCTTCCCTCGCATCGCCGCCACCACCAGCACTCCTGATGCCACGGTATCCGACAACAGAATCCTTTCAGGTAGTGTGATCGAATGGGTAATTCCTTTAAATTTTTCTTTGAGAGGGGGGGCTGAGCGGGAGCGGGTTCAATTACTTAGATTTCTTGAGTCTCATGTCGCTTCAAGGCTGTCCAGCGGTCCTAGTAGACCTGTCTGGCTTCCTTGCGCGGACCACTCCTTCTCAGTGCGTTCTATGTACAGGGCAATAACAAAAGATCAGTTTCCGGGCATCAGCAACTTCCCCGCAAAGGCCATCTGGAAGCCGATCATACCGTCGAAAATTTGTATCTTCATGTGGCTTGCTTACCTCGGGAAAAATCTCACTTTAGATATCATCAAGAAGAGGGGCCGACAGTTAGTTAATAGATGCGAACTCTGTGGTAAGGAAGAGGAGACAGCAGCGCACATCTTCATTCATTGTGACTTCAGCAAGGAGATTTGGAGGAAAAGTCATGAGTTTTGCTCGAGCATTGAGCCACTCGCTAACGATGTCCAATCCTCTATCAGCAGATGGAAGTTCGACACGCCGGATAACTTCGATGGCTGGATTAACTATGGCGCTCTTCACGCCATCTTTTGGCAGGTATGGCTCGAGCGAAACAGGAGAATCTTCAAGGACAAGCACCTCGACCCGCTGTCAATCACTTTGAAAGCGTTCAAGGCGATGATCGAGTGGCCCATCGTCATGGGCAAGGTGACCAAAGACATTGGCAGGGCCTGGCTCCTCCGTTTGCAGCAGCATTTTCATTAATTTTCCTCCCTGCCTCTTCCCCCTTTCTGTTTCCGTGTTGCGATGGGGTGGTCTGTTTCACCCTTTTTTTTCTTTCTTTCCTCTGTTTATTCCTTGCTCCTTGTTCTCAGTTTAGCTTGTAGCCGATGTGTTTTTGCACTTCTTGGTAGGTTCTTCTCTTGAGAACCTCACCAACCCAGACTTTGTTGTTTCCGTTCGCAGTTTTAATCCATATCACCATTATCAAAAAAAAAAAAAACAAATAATTTTATGGAAGGGTAAAATTGTTACGTTTTAATACTAGCAGGGTACGTTAAAAATTTAGTAAAAAAGTGCGTTTGTTAATTTGCAAAAGTAGAAGCATACAAAATACTATTAACCCAAGAAAAAAAGTCTATATTATATTATAAGGGGTGACTGAAGATTGCTTACGAGATATGACCACACCCAGAGCGGTGCCGGGGTATGACTACACCCATAGTGGTGTGGGGTATGTATGACTACATCCGACGGGATGTGGGGTATGTTTCCCAGGAGAGTTACTAGCAGTGGCGGATTTAGGGGGTGGCCACCCCGGGCCCCGGCCCAGCCCTCCTCTGGATCCGTAGTTAGTATAGTTCTTATGAATTTTTCGATTTTAGGCATTCGGCTTAGTGTGATTTTATAATAAAATTGGGTATAACTAGAAAAATGATTCAGATAACCATATTCAAATCACTACTCTAAATTTAGCCTTTAAATTTTAGTCCCAAAGATTATGCATATAAAAAAAAAATAATGAAACCTAAAATTCTAAAACTTTAAAATGTAAAAGATTAAAAGAAATATGAGGTTTGTTCCCTTGAAAACTTACTAGAGCAGTTGGTGGATGCAGGGATTGACACACAATGCCAATTGATTAGTCGATTGATTTGTCTAGTGTTAATGCTGCTCGTTTCAACAGCTACTACGAAGAGAACCTTTTCAACAATGAAATATGTGAGAACTAATTTGCTCGACAAAATGAGCGATGAATTTCTTGCCGATTGCTCAAGTATTTTATTTGAAACAGTGTATACTATTGGTATGGATGTAGGCTCCATTATTGATGCATCACTAAATTAAAATACCGTCGTGTACAATTTACATTGGAAAAAACTATAATCATTATGTTTTTTTACTATTCAATTTTCTAATGAAACTCGGCCCAGTGCTCTTTTGCGTTCTGGATCCGCCGCTGGTTACTAGCATGGGAGTAGCCAGACGCCTATAAGTAAAACATGATAAGACGCATATGCATAAGTCAAGGTGGTTGAGCCTTTTGCCCATTGGGATATGAGGATGGCTGAGGTCTGATCCTAGTATTTTGGCTTGATTGTTATATGTATGATAGGGATATGCTTTGTTATGAACTCACGAAGCAATAATTGTCTCACTCAGTATGAGCTGACCCTCTTTTATTCTTTTCCTCTGCTTATGCTATGTGTAAGTAGATCATCAGTAGTAGCAAATACATAGGTCTGAGCACCACGAAGAGTTGAAGGCAGAATGAGGTATTGTCTTCAACTATTCTGTGCTTGGGAAGACTACTCAGGATTTTGGCCAGTGATCCACACCTCTTTTGTAAAAATGTTTTGAGTATGTTTTTCATGTGCATACTAGCTTTTGATGTAGTATTACATATCACAGATGTGAAAAGTTGATATGTGTATATTTGTGTGGTTGTGTAACTTGTGACGACTATGGCATGTATTAGTAAGGTATGCAGTTGTGGAGTATGAAACTGTGCCTATGCCTATGAAAGCCAATGTATATGGTTGTGAGTATATATGTATGTCTACGAATGCAGGGATTCAGATGAATTATTTTGCAGAATTAGTTGCAAGAACTGTTAGCCCATTACGCAAGTAGTTCATGTCGAAATTTTATTTTGGGTCAATTTTGGTCATTAATGTAACACCAGTTTTAAATTCCGCTGAAATTGTATGAACAATATGATCAGGCAAAACGTACAGGGTAGGGTGTTACATAATATATATTTTAAACTATAAATCCATAACCCAAAAATCCATGATTAAATCAACTAAACAAACCATGTATCCAAATTCACAATGCACCAAATCCTTAATAAATCCAAAGGTTTTGAAAGTCCAAGCTATTCCCAACACCCTAGTCTCAAATTCAACAAGCAAATGAGCACATAATAATAGTAGTAGTGTAGTACTATAATGTTTATTTTGAAAAGCATGCAACGAAAGTTTGTGTAAATTCTTAGTTGCGATGAACTAAACTAGTTGAAGAACAACTTTGCCATCATTAATACTCAAGAAAACAGACTCCAAGCTCTCCAAGAAGCTTTCAATCCCATGGTAAATCTTGTGCTTTGTTCGGATTTTGCCTTGGACTATATGGCATTCCATCTCCTTTGAAAAATCTCCAAAATGGTTCATATATGAAAGCTCCATGAACCCTTTCATCGTCACCTCTTTACCCACGATGTTCAGCAGATTCCTCACGCCTTCTCTCTCTTTCCATCCCTGCAAGTTAATCAATTTGTACTTTATTTATTGGGTGATCTCTTCTTTTGAATCCTAATCATTTAACGAGAGGATGCAGATGCAATGTTCACGTACGTACCTTGTTGTATTGAGACATCATGCCACAAAGGATGACTTTCGCATGTGAATTAACGTGGTTAAGAACAGCTTCTAGCATTGTGCCTCCAACATTATCGAGATACAAATCGATTCCATTTGGGAAGTACCTGTAGAAAATTTATTTTATATATGTCACAGTACTGATCGATCTTGTTTGTTATCATTCCCAGTATATATTAGGAGATTAAGAGGGAAATCAAAAAATAATTGGGGACAATTGTCACGTTTTTTTGGATACTAGCGTGGAATTTCATGCAGCCGTTCATAGAATTTTTCGATTTTCCATTAGTTTTTATTGAATCATTATCTCAAATATTTTGATATGATTTTAAAAAAAATTCGTATAAATTTCAATTTTTTTTAGCTCTACAAATAATATAATTTTATGATTTTTTATGGAGAAAAAATTTCAAGACATCTTACCACTATCATATGATATCACCATAGTAATAATATCAACATGTGATAATATCATTATGTCGTAGTGGTATGATGGTGTTCTATATTGTCTTGCCATAATGTTAATATCATGTACAAGTGTATTATCGAGTCATACACTAAGACAGTAGCCACAGTGCAAAATGAGGTTCAAATAGATTTAATCACATATACAAGGATTTAGAGCTATCGAAAGCTTTTTGATACCTTCTCCATTGAAAGGAGGCTCAAATCTTAAATGGTCTCTCGATAACGCCACCATCTTCACGTAAAAATTCATGTTGGTACTTTTATAAAGGGTTAATAGGATAAATTGCCCCTTTATTATTGCATTTTCTCAAAAGTACCCTATACTATTTTTCACATCAAATTTGCTATTTTATTATAGTTTTCTTCGCCTGTTAACTTTTCCATCCAAACTCAACAAACCAGAGTCGAACTGAGTATGAGTGTATAATAATTGACAATTTTATCCCCTAAAATCTTTCCTCTAAGTAGTTATTCCAATTTTTTAAATAATCAATAACATAAAAAATAATAAAAACTCCAACCACCCGCCTCCTCCACTCGTCTCTTCGACTCTTCCCCTCCCCAAAAAATTCCCGAACCTAAATATCATTCCCCAGTAATCCCATTTGCAACAGCAGATTTTCAACCACGCACGAAAAGGTAATGGCTTAATGCCACCTTGCTAGATTCCCACGCCGGAGCAAATCGTCGACCGTTTTGATTTTACTCCTTTCGTCTTCCCGCCGTCAATGTCTTCCGTCGCCCATCATAATTTCCAAAAACTGTACCTATAATTTTTATTTTTTACATTTTGGTACTTTAAAGTTAATTTTTATACGAAAAATTGCATTGGAAAATTATGTTTTGGTATCTAGAATTTTTCATTATGACATATTTAGTACTTAAACTTTTCACATTTTACATATTGGTCCTTGGTTAGGATGTCATTTGAATTCATAGATAATGCACCAATTCACTTGATCCTATCCATAAATCTCAATTCATTTTATCAATGAATCCACCAATCCAATTCATTTGTTACCTCTAAGCGCAAACATATACACATCATAGAATTATGTCAGTCTATGATGTTTCATGGCAACACACCTACATCCCACCAGTTCACAGTTACTATGGAAAGCTCATACCATTTCCTCTATAATCAACCTATTTTATACTCCTTTTTTGAAAGTTTTGGTGCAGGTGTTTAGGAGAGAATGTTTTTTCTTGGTTATAGTACGTCTCACAAGGGATATATGTGTATGCATCATTCGTCAAATAGGCCAAGTTTATTATATGGGTCGTTTGAAAGTTAAGATTCTAGATGAATGATTCTTTGAATTCATAATTCTGGAAAATTCAATTCATCAAATACACTTATTTGAAAAATCTCAACTTCCAAACGACCCCTATATTCCGTCAGGTTATCTTCGACAAGAATTATTTTCTGTCATCGTATTTCTCACTCATGTCTACCAAAGTTCAACACGAATTTCCTGAATTTCACGAATTACAACTATCTATCCAAATTGTACACACAAGATCATGTGTTAACTCTCGTAACTCTCTCCACCGGCTCACTCTTTCTCTCTCCCTCTCTCCCTCCAACTGATATGCACATATTATGAATATTTGTGGGAGATTGAAAAAATCTCTTAAATGTCACCAGAAAATCCGCACAAGCTCACTCTCATTCCGAAAAAAACAAGCAAGTAGTGCAAAAATTTCTAATTTTTCTCATTACCCCTTATAATATAGACAGTTAGATTTACTCTTTTTCTTTTCTTCTCAAATCGATGAATATGATTAGGTTATGGAGGATTATATAACAATGAGTTCTGCTTTTTAACATACCCCTTATTTTATCGTTTCATTATCAAAAACTTTTTATAATTAAATTTTGTTATACGAATTTTATAAAAACCCAACTTTTTTATAAAAGAAAAAACATATTTAATACTCCATCACTAGCAAAAATGAGAATCAATTGTATACAATTGTACTTATGCCAAACGAAAATAATTAAAAAATAAGAATTAAAAATTGAATTATACCCAAACAGAACAGACCAGACCAGACCATAGAAGAATTCAGTGACCGCTACTTACTTGGTCAGAGCAACGTCAAAATCTGCTTCTTTGTTGTAGTTGAATGCGTCGTCGTATCCAAATTCGTCTTTGATCAGTTGAACCTGCAGTAAGGTATTCAAACCAACCACCGAAGGATCAGCTCTTCCATCTCAAACTAATTAATTAGAAAAAGTAATTAATTAACTAGTCCATGATGATATATAATTAGCTTAGACTTAATACTATATAAAATAAAAATAAAAAAGCTCAAGACTCAATTACCTTTTGATCAGATCCGGTGCTTCCAATGACTGCACAGCCTCTGAGTTTGGCCAGCTGTCCAGCCACCATTCCAACCCCTCCCCCTGCTGCTGAAATGAACACATTGGTCCCTGGTTTTGGGTCTCCCAGCAACACAATCCCCAACCACGCCGCAAACCCAGCCACCCCTTCAACCACATAATATTATTGATTAGCATTTTACACGTGGGATTCTGAAACCGTACCGAAGTTTACACGGAAAGAAAGATGTTAATTAGTCATTTTAATTTACCAAGGCAACTCAAATAATCCAGAGGCGAGATCTGGCCAGTGACATCAATCTTCCTGAGCAAAGCTGGGTTTGCTGGAAGTACAGCATACTCCGCAACCGGTTGGAACGGATTAAGGAAAACATCACCCTCTCTGTAGTTCTCGTCGCCGGATTTTACAACTTTGGCTATTCCAAACGTCTTCACAACCTGTATATTTGTACAGAATATTGAAAAAAAAATGTGTCATTTCGATTCGTCTCAAAACGATGTCAACCTTCAGTAGTACAATTTTGAAAAAAATGTGCGAACACACACTAAAATCATTAATGGTTTTAAAAGACATACATAAAAATAAAATAAAAAAAGGAGATGAGGGGGAAAACTGTGTGAGACCTGGCCGAGGTCGACCTGGGGCAAGTAGAGACCGTCGACGGTACCGCTCATCATGGAGCGCAAGAAAGGGTCGACGGAGAGCCAGAGCGTCTGAGCCAGGACGTGGCCGGCGGGGAGAGAATTCAGGGTAATTGAGACATTGCGGAGCTTGAGGTGGTCGGAAGTTGGGATTCCTTGTGGTGAATAGGCTGCCATGTACCATTCTCTGCTCTCTACTGTTTCGCCACTACTCTTACTCTCCCCGCCGGCAGCTGCAGTTGTCTTCTCCCCGTTTTCTCTAGCCATTTTTTTATGACAATTGGGAGGAGCGTTTTTTTTTTTAATTTCCAAGTTTGGTAAGAGAGCGAGTCCCTGAATTATGGAGTGGTTCGTATATGTAGGTGTTTTTTCAGTTTAAAATAGTACTAGATAGCGATATCGCGAGTTGTCGCGGGATGGAGATTGTTTATGGACATGTATTATGTGGTTCGTTATGGTGTTTTGTTAGTATTATTAGAGTAAAATTAATTTTTTGCTAGTGTTTTGTTAGTAATATTGATTTGACAATATGATATTGACTGAGAAGAGATATATAGCGGTCAATATCCAATTTTACAAAATTTGAAACTTTTGTTTAACAAATGATATTTACCTAAACCCAAGTAGATCAATTGATTATGGGTAGGGTATGGGTGACGTATATATGGGTTCGGAAGTTTGTATATGGGTTTGGGTAGGGTATGGATATTTACTTCCATACTCTAAATATGTATGAGTTGGGTATGGATACCCATTTATTTGAGCGTGTTTTAATTACACATACAAAAATTATACATATTTGTAGAATTTAAATGTTAGGTACTAAAATGTAATGTACTATCAATATTTTTGGGGACTTATAAGCCAAATAAATAAATTTAGGTTATAAATCTAAAGACCTATTAAGTTTTAGTACCGAACTGTAATTTTCGTAGTTGTGGCTAAATTCCTTTTATGGTGATGTATTTAAGATGATAATTATTTACTTTTCATAGAAAAATGGAAACTATTTAATTTATATGTGTAGATACCTAGCCAAACACTTCATGTATAATTGTTGAAAATTCTAGTCTGGGTGCAAAAGAAAAACTTTAGAGAAAAACAATAGGAATACAAACTGGAACTCGCTTAAAATTTCACGCCTTCAAATCTCATAGTGGAAAATGACGAATTTCTAATAAGTAATAACCATATATATTTATTTTTAATTGGACTGGATAATGAGCTGAAAAAGTTAGTGGTTCCTGGTTAAATTATTAATTCTCTAGACTGTTTGTCAGTCGTGTATATATGGACCTATTAATACTTGTGATTAGAATACATGAAATAGTATACTAATTAGGGTTAGAAGAATAAGGCAAACAAAAATAAAGAAAGGGTTATGGAAGGCGAGTGAAAAATGAAACGAAGAGGAAGTAGATGATGGAAAGGTTTTGACCAATTCTTCTAGTTGGCCGTCAATACAGCAGTCAACCCTTTTTCCCGTAGCAATTTATTGACACTTGCTTATGTAGATCTGGCATATTTTGTTACATGTAGTTAGTAGAAGTTTGTTTAGTACTCTGTAAATGTACTAAATGAGTTTATAAATTCTCTCTTGCAATATTTTAGAGTTATCTCTCTTTTATCATTTATTTAATGTTTCACGTAATGAGCAAATATAAAATGGTCGAATCTTCTACTACAGTTGAGTGATACAACATCTATTTTGGCACAAACTAAATTTATACTTTTATGTTATGGTGTATTGGATTAATGGAATGGTTCAAAATGGTTGGTGGATTGGATTCATGAATTCAAATGAAATCTAAACAGAGGACCAATATGTAAATTAAAAAAAATTGTATCTACAAAAATCTCATAAAATTTAGATATCAAAACATAATTGTTCAATAATTTTCATTAAAATTAAATTTGGGGTATCATGGATTGGTCAAAAAGGCTAGTGGCTTGGATTGGATTAATGGATTGGTTCAAAAGGATTCATGAACCAATTTACACTAAAATTAAACTAGGGGTATCAAAATATAAAATATACATTATAGTGACTAATTTGTAATTTGTTTGGCAGCAGTAACCAAAATTTAGCTTATTAACTCTTGCAATATTTTAGAGTCGTCTCTCTTTTATCATTTATTTGATGTTTCACGTAATGAGCAAATATAAAATGGTCGAATCTTCTTCTACAATTGAGTGATACAACATCTTGTATGGTACAAACTAAATTTATACTTGTATGTTATGGTGGATTGGATGAATGGAATGATTCGAAAGGGTTGGTGAATTGGATTCATGGATTCAAGTGAAATCTAAACATTGGAGCAATATGGAAATTTAAAAAATTGTAGGTACGAAAATCTCATAAAATTAAGATATCAAAACATAATTGTCCAATGATTTTTCATTAAAATTAAATTTGGGGTATCATGGATTGAATTCATGGATTAGTTCAAAAGGATTGGTGGATTGGATTCATGAATTTAAGGGAAATCTAAACATTGGACCAATTTATATGAAAATTAAATTTGGGGTATAAAAATATAAAATATATATTATAGTGACTAATTTTTAATTTGTTTGGCAACAGTAACCAAATTTCTGCTTATTAACTCTTGCAATATTTTAGAGTCGTCTCTCTTTTATTATTAGTTAATGTTTCACGCAATTAGCAAATATAAAATGGTCGAATCTTCTCCTACAGTTGAGGTATCATGGATTGGTTCAAAAGGATTGGTAGATTGGATTCATGAATTTAAGTGAAATCTACTAATTGGACCATTTTGCATTAAAATTAATTTTGGGATATAAATATAAAATGTACATTATAGTGACTAATTTGTAATTTGTTTGACAACAGTAACCAAATATCAGCTTTATATATAATAATATGGATAGCTAAATCTGAACCGTGCCTTTAGGTCTAAGTAGGGTAAGACGGGTTTGGATCCAAGATTGAGAATTATTTTTTTTTTCTATTTTTTTAATTGGTTCTCATCTGTTTTGTTTTAATTTGTATTTTAAAATATTTTGCACAAAATGAGTTCGTTATGATCTACAAAAGAATATTCATTTTCAATATATTTCAGCAAAAAGATTTCATACCACTTGTTGCCACCTTGGTACCACCTTTGTTTCTAACTCGAATTTTGATATTTCTTGCCCATATGAGTTTATATCACGATTTATTTTATTTGCGAATTTCTGGAAAAAAAAATATATGACCAAAATATGCCAGTCCAAACCACCCTGATATAAGGATGATAACTAGTCGTAAACCGGTAAAAAACAAATAGTCGTAAAAAAAAATTTGTAGATGATAATTCATATATTCTTCAAGGATTCAACTGGAGACACAAAAGGTTAGACATCCAAAATCTTCGACAACCAAGTCGCCGGCGACTTGGAAGTTGGAACTTTAAGCCTTGGTTGGGCACGGCTGCTATTTACTTGTACAGCATTCTAGTGTGAAATATTCCTGTTCGGCTGTTCGGCTGTTCGGCTGTCCCGGTCCGCAGTTAGTTATGCTCGAAATGTTTTGTTTGGGTTGAATTTGGACTGCTTGCCACTTGGGGCATTGTTGGGTGTGTTTGGTTGGTTGTTTTGTTGTTCTGTGTATTATAGTGGCTATTTATGGCACGGGAGCGGTTACGGTGATTACTACCGTGATTATTAAGGGTAAATTGAGTATGGAAAAATAAATTATAGTAATTAATTTTGTTAATAAATTATATTTTAGGTAATTACAAAAATCTATTAATTATAATTATCTCTCTTTCTCTCACTTTCGTAATCTCCAGCTAGGGGTGGCAGTCGGTCGGTTTTGGTTTAACCGAAAACAGATTTCTCGATTATCGGTTAAACCGAGCAACCACCTCCTATTGCCGACCACCGACCGTGAGGGACACCACGGCTAGCCGACCACCGACCGGTCAGTTATCGATTTTGGTTCGGTTAGCCGCATACCCGAAAACACTCCCTTCTCTAAAAAAATTACTAAAAATTATTAAAAAAAAACAAACGAAAATTCTCTACCACTAAATCCTTATCTTCTTCCTCCTTCTCTCTCCTTCCTTCCTCCAAAAAGACCCACCAGAGACCACATACCACTTCTTCCTCCATTTCAAACCCACAACACCCAACCACTCCTTCCTTCCTTCCTTCATTTTAGGTATAGACACCACGGCGGCCGGTCGCGGAGGAGAAGCACCAGGCCACCACTCCTTCCTTCTCCCTCCTTCCTTCTTCCATTTCAGATCTGGACACCACACGGATCAGAAGGAGAGGCACATCGGCGAGGAGCGGAGGCGGAGGTCGAGCCGACGTGGTTGGCGATTCGACGAGAAGGGCTGGGAATGGGGGAGCGGAGGGCTCGGTTCGTCGCCGGGGTCGGAGGGTGAAGATGCAGAGATCGACTGGGGGCGATAAGCAGGGGAAGGCAGCGGCGTACGGCGCGGCGCTTATCGTAATGGGAAGCAGGCGGAGGGCGAGGTGCAGGGAGAGGCGCGACGGCGGAGGTGAGGTGGACGGCGACACGACGGCGGAGGCGAGGTGGACGGAGGTGCGGTAGAGGCGAGGTGGACAAAGGGGGGAGATTTTTGTTGAGATCTAGGGTATGAGGAGGAGAGTGGAGGTGGAGATGATGGATATATTTTGGGGAAGGTTAAGACTTAACTGGTTCTCGGTTGGGGCCGGTTATTCGGATAACTGCGGTTAATCACCGTCGGTTACTCGGTCAACCGACCCCTTCCTTTTTCCAGCCGACCACTGACCGTCAAGGTAACCGGTTGGTTTCCGGTTACCCGCTAACCGGACCCCGAAATGCCAGCCCTATCTCCAGCCAGATCTCCTTTCCATATTTTTTTCAATCTTTTTGCAAAAGAAAAAACACGAAATCAATACCAATCCATTAGACAACCACTACCACTTTGAAAAATATCAATACCATTGAAGAGATAAATCTATACCATTACACGAAAACTATCAATATAAAGAATCTATACCATTACAAAAGTTAAACAAATACCAAAACAAACAATACCACTACAACTGTGAAATCAAAACAATACCACTGCGCAAATAAATTAATACGATTAAACTAAAACTTCAATACCAAAATCAATCAATACCACTACTATTGTGAAATCAAAACAATACCATTGTAGAGATAAACCTATACCTATCATTACACGAAAACTGCCAATATAAAGAATCTATACCATTACAAAAGTCAAACAAATACCAAAACAACCAATACCACTACAATTGTGAAATCAAAACAATATCATTGCACAAATAACTTAAAACCATTAAAATAAAACTACCAATACCAAAATCAATCAATACCACTACTATTGTGAAATCAAAACAATACCATTGCACAAATAAATCAATACTATTATGAGAAACACACTATACCATTTCATACAGCAAAACAATGAACTAATACCAAAACACAGTATACCATTTCATAAATTAATACCATTACTAAATTACTAGATCTATCGTAGACAAATGGATAA